TTACTCCTCCCACCTATCCTCTAACCAATAAAATGGGCCAGGGCAGTGCCTTTATTAGCCAATGACCTTCCTCCATCATCCGCCCCCCTCCGTCCTGGTCTAGAAAGGTGAACATCCAAACTGGCTAGGCTCCCACAAAGCCAGAACATGAAGTAGGATCAAAACCCAGTGCCATTGTCCTTGGCTTCTCAGCAGCCCTCATTGTCCGCCATATTCAGAGAGTCTGGTTTTATCCCCTGCTTTTTCAGTCACAGTCCAGCTGGCCTTGGTGAGCTCCCAATAGATCAGCCCCACTGTCTCCGTCAGTGGGTGCACCCCTCTTGGTCCTGTCAGTCAGCTTTCTTATAGAAGCCAGGACCACCAGCCCAGAGATGGTACCACCCACCATTGACTGGGTTCACCCTCATTGATCACCAATGGAGAAAATGTCTTATAGCTGGATCTCATGGAGGCATTTCCTCAAGTGAGGCTCCTTCCTCTCTGATGACTCTAGCTTAATGTCGAATTGACACAGAAAATCAGCCAGTCAGTGGATATCTGTGTTTTCATAGTGTCTGTAGAACATCTGTCCAGGCTCTTCTCGCATTTAAAGTCTCCTTTGAGAAGTCTGATATTATTTGAATAGGTCTGCCTTTGTTTGTTCCTTGGCCTTTCCACTTGTAGCTTTTAATATTCTTTCTTTGTTTTGTATGCATAGTATTTTGATTATTATGTGCTGAGGGGACTTTCTTTTCTGGGCCAATCTATTTGGTGTTCTGTATGCTTCTTGTATCTTGCGAGGCATCTCCTGCTTTAGGGTAGATTTTTAGATTTAACGTTTTCTTTGATTGAGGTATCTATTTCTTGTATTGTGTTATCAATGCCTGAGTTTCTCTGTTCCTTGTCTTCTGATGTTCTTGTTTGAGTTCCTAAATGTTTCATTTCATGATTTTCTTCAGTTTTGATTTTCTCTATTGATTCTATTTCTTCTTTTAATTCTTTAACACTTACTTCATTTCCTTTTACTGTTTGTGTTTTCATAGATTTTAAAAGATATTTATTTCTTCTTTAAGAACTTCTTTCATATTCATAAAGGCTACTTTAAGGTATCTTTCTTATGCCTCACCTCTATTGTAATGCACAGAACATGCTGTGGTAGGGTTGCTGGGCTTTAGGGGAGACACATTGTCCTGACTATAATTTGTATAGGCATCTGGGTTTTGGAATATTTTTATTCTAGGTGATGATATATAGTCTTGTCTTCATGGATGTGTGTTTTGTTCTGTGATTTTGTTTGTCTTCTCTGGTACTTAGGAGAGTGTGTTGGATGTGTATTGCCACTTTGATGTTCTGTGTCAGAATTTTTTAAGATTTAACATTTTATTTACTGAGGTATCCATATCCATTTTTCTATTGTTCTTCAGTGCCTGTGAGTCTCTCTTTCATCTCTTGTATGATGTATTCTGTTGTGTGGTGTGGGAGCCCTCAAAGTTCCTATTTGAGCTCCTAAAGTTTTCATTTTCATTTCCCTCAGTTTGGGTTTTCTTCTGGGATCCATCTAGGTGTGATCACTGGGGGTTTTGGGTAAAATATGTATCTAGGTATTGGGAACTGACATTTAGGAGTGAGGGTGTGTTAGGAGAGGGGCAGGACTGATTGGATCACCAATGGGGAGGAAAGAAGGGTGTTCTATTAGGATCTGCTTATTCCACCAGGGAATGAGGGCAGAGAGTGAGAGGCCACAACAGATGTTCTGCTATAGAGCTGGGTATGACTATGGTGGATTGTATGTAGAGGAGACGAGGGAGATTGAAGATCCGAAGCTCACCTACCTACTTTGCTGGCCTACTGCTTCTTTGGCAGGTATAGGTGGAGACTGCTTGTTCATTTCTTGGCCACCCAGACCTGAATAACCACACAGAAACTGTATTAATTACACCACTGTTTGGCCAATAGCTTAGGCATATTCCTAGATAGCTCTTACATCTTAAATTAAACCTTTTCTATTAATCTGTGTATTGCCACCAGGCTGTGGCCTACCAAAAAGGGTTTCCAGCATCTTTCCCCTTTGGCAGCTATATGGTGTCTCCTTGACTCCACCTACTCTCTATTTCTCTTTCAGCCTGGTTATATTCTGCCCTGCCATAGGCCAAAGCACTTTATTCATTAGTCAATAAAAGCAACACATGTACATCCCACATCAGGCAGGCAGAATGTCTGTCTGCTGGAGCTGGGGACTGGGATAACAGGACGAGTAGGGAGGAAGGTTGGAGAAGATCTGTATGATGGGATAGGAAGGAGCTGCAGTTAGGCTACCTGTTTCCCTGGCCCAGGTGGCCCTTGGGTTGCTATGGAATGTCTGCTGGAGCTGGGGACTTGGATAAAGCAATTAGTGAGAAGAGGGAAGTTACTTGTGACACCCTGGAGGTGGGGGCAGAAGGTTGGGAAGATGACCGCAGCTGGAGATCTGCTGCAGAGATGTGGATAAGACAGGGGGATTTGACTTGAAGGAGCTGAGGGAGAGGTGACGTGTGGTTAGCCTACCTACTTCCCTAGTCAAAGTGGCCTGTGAGTTCCCAGAGATTCTCTGCAGGAGTTGGGTCCCTGGATAAAGCAATGGGGAATGGTTAGGAGGGGAAGATCTGGGGAAGGGGGTAAAGGAGGCTGTAGCGGGTGGTCTGGATTGGAGATAAGACTAGGGATTTGGATTTGGAAGAGAAGAGGGAGAGGTGAAGATCTGCAGGTAGTTCACCTGCTTTCCTGGCTGGAGTGGCCTTTGAGCTCCCAGGAAACCGGTTCCTCTGTTTTTATTATTTGGGGTCCTCTACAATTTCTTTAATGGCCATATTAATTTATATTCTTGTCAATGCAAAGTGCTCTTTTCCCTACAGTCTCGCCTGTTTGCCTTCTTTTTCTTTCGATGATAGCCATTCTCACAGGTGCTACATCTAAAGTCCCACCTGTCTTCTTCTCACTACCCCAGTGGGAGTCTGTTGATGCAAAGCATTTTGCATCCATCTACTGGACACTTGCAGGCTTTCCTTCAAGCTGTGTTTATTCTGATCCACTGCAGGCTCGACATTGGGCATTCCCTTTCTCACTATTGAGTTCTTTGTGTTCCTCTTCATGTTGTTATTATTTTCATAGCCTTTTCCTTTAATGCAATTCTAATCTTTATCCATCCCTTTAATGTCTATGCTTTTGGTGTCGTATGAAAATTATTGTTTTAATGCCATAGTGTTTTCTCTTTTTGTTCTCACCAGGTTCAGTTGTATTTACATGGTATGACATGATGATCCAATTTAAATTGAATTCATGTGGATATTTGGCAGTTCCAATACCATTTGCTGAAAGACTAGTGTTTCCTTACTGCATGTTCTTGGCACATTTATTCAAAATAAATTACTAGTATATGGGTTTATTTATGGACACTGTTTATTTTTCTTTTGGCATGTGTCTATTTTTATTCCAGCAGTGTTTTACTTTGATTGCTGTAGCTTTGCTATAGTTATGAAAATAAGTAGTACACATTGCATGGTGCAGGGTTTGGATAAATCCTGACATATCTGAGTATCATTGTAATGAACTACATTATTAGGTTTTCTTAGAGCATTCAAAGAGAGACAAGGTGATTTTATTTTCTTTTTTAAAAAAAGTATTTATTTATTTATTTATTATGTATACAATGTTCTGCCTGTGTGTATGCCTGCAGGCCAGGAGAGGGCGCCAGACCTCATTACAGATTTTATTTTCTATTCATGAGTTTAGGATATTACTAATATTTTAAAATATGTTTTCTGACTACATTTTCTCAATAGGCTCAACATGTTTATTTTTGCTGTGAAGTTAGTCTCTGGTGACTGGGTAGTCTGAGGCAGTGACTGCTGTACCCTGATGATTGCTTCTGGGAAATTAGCTGTGACCTCAGAGCATCAAGAGAGCCCGTGGAAGGAAGAATTTCTGTGTTAACTTGATATGTATCATCTTTGGTAGAGTGTTAGTAACAAACTTAGTGACAATTGTTTTGTTACAAAGAGTGACTGATGGGTTTAATCACGTATTCCACGTGGCAAGATCTCAACAAATGTGTGTTGTAAATAGTTGGAGAGTTGTTATGTGGTGGTACATTAGGGTAATTAGATTCCATTTCTACTCTACAGTTTTCTATTTTTAATAAAAAAGATTTTAGGAAGATAATCCCTATCCATGTTTCACCACCCAGTACTTTCTTCTGTGTGAATATAATATACACAAAGTACCATTCCCATTTTTAGAACCCTTCCTCATCTTGCATGAAGGGGTATAGAAAATTTTAGCCTAACTACTTGACAACAAAGCTTCTCAAATTGTGCATGAGGTTTAATTGTGTAGAACTTTGTTTTATTGAAACTATGTATATATACATTGGAGTAAAAACATTTGAAAACTAGCCTTTCTTAAAAATAAGCATTCTGAATTAGTGATGCATTTTGATGACAAATCTGATATACACATTTAATATTTATTTCTGTGGGAGTGCATCCATTTCTTCCCTAATTCCGTCTTCAACAGACATTATTCTCCAAAGGCTGTCAGAAAAGTTCCTCAATGTTCGCCCACCACAATTTTGTTGCTCTTGGGTTTAAATGCTTGGATTTGGTGACATTTCAGAGGTCCTAATGCCTCTTAGCTTACCTACTTACCTACTTATTCATGCTCTAGGCTACTGAAGCAAGTTGATTATAAATGCTTTTATGATGGTAACATATTTTAGCCCTAAGTCTCCTTGTCTTTTGGATGGTAACCATCCCCAATATTGATAATGGCCATAAGCCTGGCAGCAGACTATTTGAATTTCAAAGTTTACTTTTCATTTTCCTCCTAATACCTACTAAGATCCACCCCAATTTAACCTTCAACTCTATTTCCACCTGGTACCCTGCTGCTTAATTTAAAATCATTATGATACTTTGCCATTCTATATACAGTTTACAAGCATTTCCCCTCTGTAATTCAGGGGAAGTTTCTTCTGAATCAAGTCTTTAAGCTATAGCAGATGCTTGTTTAAAACTTCTTGAGGTTATTTTTTTCATCAGAATTTTTTTCAAGACGTTCTTTACTTCTTTATTTCTCAAGCTATAAATAAAAGGATTTAGTAAGGGAACTACTATTGTAAACAAAATAGCAGCTGGTATATCTTTATCTCCTTCTTCTAGCAAATTTGGCCTAATGTACATGAAGAAAAGAGATCCATAGAATAACGAGACAGACAGAAAGTGAGACGCACAGGTAGAGAAGGCTTTGATCCTCCCCTCTTTGGACTTCATTTGGAAAATTGTAAAAACAATGTAAAGGTAAGATATGAGGACACTGCCTATTGTGAAAACTTGAATTGAGCCTGAGAAGACAAACAGCACAATCTCGTTGACATAGGGATCAACACAGGAAAGTCTGTACAAAGGAAGAATGTCACAATAAAAGTGGTTGATGTGATTAGACCCACAGAATGCCAGTCTAAATAGTAGCCCCACATGAATCATGGAATGCAGGTTTCCGGCCATGAAGGCCCCTGTGGTCATCTGAAGGCAGAGCTTCTTGGACATCATGGTGTGGTACTGCAGTGGGTTGCATATGGCCACATAGCGGTCATAGGCCATTGCTGCCAGGAGGAAGCAGTCTGCAGTTTCAACAGTGCAAAGAAAATAAAACTGTGCCATGCATTCATATAGAGAGATTATTCTGTCCTGAGAAAAAAAGTTCCCCAACATTTTAGGAGTAATAGCACAAGCACAGCAGGAATCCACGAGAGCCAGGTTGCCCAGAAAGAGGTACATTGGTGTGTGAAGAGAACGTTCTTTGGAAATCAGAATCATCAGGCCCATATTCCCTACCATGGTGATTAGATAGATGACAAAGAATACCACAAACAGAAGGGCCTTCATTTCTGGATCGTCTGTAAATCCTGTGAGGATAAACTCATGCTTCATGGTGTGATTTTCTTCAACCATTCCTGATTCTCTGGAAAAAAAAAAAAGTTGGGAAATAAAGTGCTAGTTTCCTGTGTGCCCAAAACACAATTAAACTCTCTTTGTTTTAAAGGAGGAGATACATACTGGATAACACCTTTGCAAGTCATCTGGGCTTGAGTAGAGTAACATGTCCAAATATTAGCATAATTATTTTTTCTTTTTTGGGCTGGAGATTGAACCCAGTGCATTGTACATGCTCTGCAAGTGGCTTCAGTACCAAGCTACATTCCCTCCCTAAATTATTCCTTTCAAACCCATTTATTAAACACTAGTCCATCACATTTTCAAGGAAAACTTCATATTGGATACACATAAGTTGTATTTTGCTTATTTATAAATAGAACAAAACACTTATTGTGAAAATTGCTTTATAATTTTATAATATAACTTATATTTTCTCAAACAAATTCAGTGACTGTATTTGTTTCAACCAAGGATAATGTTCAGAAAACTATCCTTGCTACAGTATTGATTGCAGCAATATCCAAACGGTATCAAGAAACCAGATGCATGGGCAGATAATGGATATAATATGTGTATATTAGCTATTTTTATATAGGATTAGACATGTTACAGCATAGGTCAATTTTAATAACTAAATAAAGGAAGGCAGACAATAATGGATACACTCTGTAATTTTACTTAAGTGAGATACCTACATTAGACAAATTCAGAGAAAGAGACTATAAATGTGATTGTTGAGGGAACTGGGAGCAACCTTGTTTAATGAACATCCATTTTCTTTTTGGGAAGATGGAGTAATTCTGCAGATGAGTAGTGGTGACAGTTGCACAAATTAATTCACCTAATGCTGTTGAACTACACAGTTGGGTAGCCTAAAATGGTAATTTATATGTTATGTGTAGTCTATCACAGAGCATATTTATGTATATGTTCTTAGTAATTTTCTCTCTTTTATAACTTCCCCCCTTTCTAATGTTACTGGCGTTTACACTAAAAATAAAGCACTTCAGAGAACAGGAGATATTTATAAATCATTTTCTTCTGAGAGTTGGGATACACAATCAAATGGCTGACACAGGGAAGGGGTCAAGAGACCAAGAATGAGCAGCAACATAAAGAACAGAGATTTCAAGAGAGAGTGTGAGAGAATGACAGACACAGAAAGAGAGGTGTGTGGGAGGGGCGAAGAAAAAGGACTGTTTCAGGACTTCCAGATTATTTATAATATCACTTATGCTGGCAATAGAAAAATATTCAAGATATATATGTCATATATATACATACCTACATATACATAAGTGTAAATGCTATTAGAAGAAATTTGAGAAATCCCAAGGGTAACAGTTGGATGAAAAAGTTATGAGTAAAATCAAATGTCAAAAAGAAATGAATGTTTTTTGTAGTTCTTTTCTATGTAAAACATACAACTTGGCAGGATTGTTGGAAAATAGATAAATGTGATAAACACTAATAATGTTTTAATGAATCAGAAATGACTGACTTCCTAACCAGAAACATATTATTTGAAGCAATGACATGAATTTTTTATTTTGCCCATTGAAACAGCAAGATTTTTAAAAATGATATTTTATCTGTACAGTATGGAATGGAAACTTAGTTGCATTTCTGAAAATTGGTGGGATCCCTGGGAAATTATTTAGTAGTAAAGGATGAAATGCTTAAATGTTTACAGCCTTTGACTAATAGTGATGAAGGTATCTGAAATAAATTTAAAAAACACAAGAAAAAATTACATGTAATGACTCCCACTGTGATTTTCTTAGTGGTGATAATAGTATTTCAGCTAAGTGGTATGCATAATTAGGAAATGTCATTCACCTGTATGACGGCATCTTGCATAATCACTGCTAAAATATTTAAGTGATGAAATAGATACAATAGAAGATTAAAACAATATTTTATATATAAACAATCCTTATACATAATCATAATCTCCAAATAAATAAATATATATACCTATGATAGAAAGATAGCACAGAAATTATGAAAATGTCAATACTAGTCTTTTATGCAATGAGAATTACAATTCATGATTTTCATCTTTGCAGTTTCCCCATTTTCAAATTGTCTACAGTAACCATTACTCTAAAAATGAGAAACTATAACTTTGGTTAACAAATAAATATTTTGCTTTGATTTCTGAAGTGTTCTGTAACTTTGACAAGTCTACAGTAATCTTTGATACAGAAAACACTCATGTTTTCTATGTACCACTGTTTTCTGGTGGGCAAACTCACAGCAGGATCAGTGAGCTGGTGCCTATTGGAACAGTGACATCGACAGGTAGAAGTACTAACAGACACCATGGTGTGCTTCCTAAGCATTGAGGAATACCATGACATAGGTTAGTCATTCAGCCTCCAGACCACTTTCCTCTGTGAAAACAGTATCTCTTTGAGGTCTACTTTCAGCCTTTCTAAGGCTCAATGTTACCATGCTGTTACTTGGTTGTATGGTTCTTACGCTTATTTAAAGTTCACAACAATGTATAGCTTCCCTTTTACACTACACTACACTTGTTTGAGATTTATTGGGCATTTATTCTGTGCTACATGTTTTCTTTCGACTGGCAGTTGGCTCTATGAGGCATTTCCATAGGAACAGTGATTTGGGTAGTTACTGACCATATCTGTACTCTAAATTCAGGGACAGAGGAAAAGTTTTGCAGCAGCAGAGGAATGTCACTTAGTTTTTGGCTTATTTAAAATATTTCTGATATTTAAATCTTAGACTTCTTGAAGATGAAACCACTCAGGAATATTACTTATAAATTTAATATTTTCCTCTAAATATATTTTTGTGCCAGCTTGAATTCATCAAATATGATTTTCTCCAACTTCCAAATTGATTATAATTTATAAAATAGATTTTCTATTGGCACTTGACTAAGAATTATAAGATAAAATAGAAAGCTCTTTCAAATTTCTCTGAGAATTAAAAACCATCTGATATAAAATTGGCCCTTTTTCATACAACTTTTTTAGTACATGTAGGGAATGACTTCAACAAAAAATTAAATGCCATTCAGAAAGTTGAAAGTTCAATGATATTACTTTATAATAATCTCAAAACATTACAAATGTATTTCCATACTACTATGAAAATACCTGTTCAGTTTGATATAGTTGGGCTTCTCTTTATTTCAGAAGTGACACAAATGAATAATAATCATTTATCTAGTGTTTGGACAAAAGATTTGTGGAAAAGAAAATTTCATTATCTTAAAATTGAGAACTTCAAATCTCAAGAAAAGACAATTCTTAGAGAATTGCATTTCTATAGAAAAATACATTGAAAAATTCTTTCTCACCTGGGTTTCTGATGAGGACTGTACAAATGGCTGTTATTTGCCTGATGTACTTTTAAAGAGGATCCAGCAGTTAATCTCTGTTCACTTGGTTATTTATGCCTGCATGTTGTTGGTAGCAAATTAGTCAAATATTCAAAATAATTCTGAGGAGATTTACTTGGCATTGACATCAGAGTATGGCCTGAGAGACCCAATCTTCTGAACTCTATATCTGAACTAAATTGGAATAATTATGTATATCCTTTGAGATCTAACAAGACAATTTAAAAGACTCAGAAAGGAAATTAAGTTTATGATATTTACCAGTTTGAATTAAAAATAGCAAAATAGATGGAAAAATTCCTACTTGACTGGTCAGCAAAAACTTCACAGTGGAAGTTGTAACTGAGTTAGGATTGTGACCTCTGAATATAGAAGAAATGGGCTATGGAATTTCCTCCTGAGACTAAGGAAAGCTGCTAAGGCCAGGCATGTGTCAGGGCTGTTCCAGAATGGAAGCCTAGTAGAAGGGCCATTGTGTGAGGCTGTGAAGTTGGAGCCTGGATTATCTTAGAGAACTCAAGATGTTAGACATGCCAGAGTCATGGGATACATGCTGAGGAAAGCTGATAATAGAGTGGAACCAGTTCAAGAGAAAGAAGTGTGTTGCAGTCAACAAAGCTGAAATGTGTTGGATATCTCAAGCGTGTTTTGACATTAGGCATGGAGATACACAGTTTGGAGTTTACCAGCTGGTTTGTGGTCTTGTACCCTTGCTATGCTCCCTTCCCCATGTTTTGGAATGGTAATGTATATTCTTTGCTGTTACATGTTGGCAGTAAGTGATCTGCAATTTGATTTTGATTTTTACAGGTGATTACATTAAGAGATTGTATGAATCTTAGAAGAGACTTTGAACTTTGGACTTTAGACTATCATTGAGACTGTGAGAGACTGTGGGGACCTCTGAAGTTGGATCAAATTCATTTTACATTATGATATTGTTACAAGCTTATGGGGTCCGGGGAATGGAATGTGATAGTTTGAATGGAATTGGACCACAAAAGCTCATAGGACTGACACTATTAGACTTTATTGGAGGAGGTATGACTTTGTTGAAGTGTGGCCTTGTTGAAGGAAGCGTGTCACCGTGGAGGCAGGCTTTGAGGTCTCTTTTGCTCAAGCTTCTCTCAATGTGACAGTCAGTCTACTTCATGTTGCCTTCTGATCAAGATATAGCCAGCACCATGTCTACCTGCATGCCATCATGATTCCCATTATGATGATAATGGACTGAACCTCTGTAAGGGAGCCACCACTGATGTGGGTGATATATGATGTCATATATCAATCTGTTGATTTCATTGGTTAATTAATAAAGAAACTGCTTGGCCTGATAGGTTAGAACATAGGTGGGTGGAGTAAAAAGAACGGAATGCTGGGAGGAAGAGGAAGTGAGGCAGATGCCATGCCTCTCCTCTCCAGGGCAGACACGATGAAGCAAGCCACCATGTCAGACATGCTGAATCTTTCCTGGTAAGACTGGTGCTACACAGATTACCAAATATGAGTTAGGCAAGATGTGAGAATTAGCCATTAAGAGGCTAGAACTAATGGGCTGAGCAGTGTTTAAAAGAATACAGTTTCCGTATTATTATTTTGGTGCATAAGCTAGCCAGGCGGCCAGGAGCCGAGTGGCAGGAAT